ATCGTGCCCTGCATGAACAAGCACGGCATCTGCGTGGTGGACGACTTCCTGGGCAAGGAGACCGGGCAGCAGGTGGGCGAGGAGGTGCGCGCCCTGCACGACACGGGCAAGTTCACGGACGGCCAGCTGGTCAGCCAGAAGAGCGACTCGTCCAAGGACATCCGGGGCGACCAGATCACCTGGATCGAGGGCAAGGAGCCCGGCTGCGAGACCATCGGGCTGCTCATGAGTCGCATGGACGACCTGATCCGCCACTGTAACGGGAAGCTGGGCAACTACAAAATCAATGGCCGGACGAAAGTAAGTGTGCGCCGGCCTCGCCCCGGGGCCGCGTCCGCGAGGGGCATAGAGTCCCTCCATCGGAAAGGATCTCCTGGGGGCAGAACCCCGATAAGAGGAAGGCTGGGGGCCCGTCTGTAGGTGTTGACCTAGGGAGCTCCTTTCTTTCGTGTGTGTGTCCCCCGTTACTATCACAGCACACAACTCTTTATAAGATACTGCACCTAAATTTTGCTTAAAAAACTTCAAATGAAGAAAGTTATAAAACATAACATTATCCCATATAATAAAGAGGTAATATGCAAATTGACCGTTATGCCCTCGCACAAGATGGCCGTCCCGTGTGGTCACAACATGGCCACCGTTGGCGAACTTCCGTCCAGTTGCATAGTTTTCTGGCTGAAGGTAGGCTCGCCCTTTTAACTTCTGCCTTCTCTCCCTCTTGCATCGCAATGCACGGTTAGTTCCAACCTCATTGGAGTGTTAGCCGCCCATTGGGGTGGGGAGGGTGGAGGGGGCCGGGAATTAAAGTACTGCTCAGAGCAAGTGCATGCATTCGCTCCTCCATGCTCCGGTTTTGGAACCAACCAGTCCTCAGATACCGACCTGCAGGGCCGCATGCGGTGCTGAGTTAGGAATCTGCACAAAAAGATCAATGTGAAATGAGCGTGCAGTCAGACTCCTCACTCAGGAAGAGTTAGGCTCCCCTCCCTCTCCCCCTTCTCCTCCCCCTCCCCTTACCCGTGTCCCTCCTGTTTTGAATCCCACGACATCAGGGGGGAAAGCAGTGTTTCCGTTTCCAGACCTCTCGGTGTAGGTAGGTTACATTTTTAGCACAGGTTTCCTTTACTTGCTTTGTTGAGCCCTTGGTTGAAAAAGAACTGTTTTGTAGCTTCCTAGGGGAAAAAACAAACAAACAAAAACAGCCCACATATGGAATCGGAGCAGGAGTGAGGGCCCATCCCAGCATCTCAGTTTGGTGACATTTGTTTGTTTGCTCTTTACTATTGTAGTTCCCCCCCCACCCCCCGCAGATTCCTCAGTTCCTACCTACTGACCCCGCCTGCCTCCTCAGTATGGTAAACAATGGAGCCATCCCTCCTTAAGGACCTCTTGCAGTCCTTTTGCATTTTCCTTCCCAGGTCTTAATATTTCCTTAGGATCCAGGTTCACCCCAGGCCACCCTGCTCCACCCTCCGTCATCCATCTCTGTCTGATTTTGTAAGTGCCGGGGTCTTATCTTAGGAGATCATCACACCGGTAGGTGTTTGTAGGAACACGCTGACTCTTCCTGGTCCTTCTTTGTGTGGGTCAGACCATCTATTTTGATAATCCATGTGGATGACTCTCAGACTGAGTACAGGCAGCTAAGGAAGTTCTGAACATGGGGATTTTGCTGAGGGAAATACAGTGGGAAGTGATCTACGTATTGGGGCTTCATTGCTGGGTGAAGGCACGTCTCAATATGTTGTCTCAAAAAAAAAAATGAACAGTTGCTTAATATTAAGCTGCAAGAAAAAAACGGGGCTTGATTCAACCTTAACCTTGGTTGTTAATCAGATTTTCATTGATATATTTTTAAATGACTTTGTGGTGGATTAAATGTGAGTGTAGTCATGAACCCTAGAGCAGGGAAGGAACTAGCTTTCGGGAATATTAATACATCTCTGTGAAGACTGACCGAGTATATTGAGACATAGCTTCAGGTGAAGCCGTGACGAAGAGGGTGTCTAAGACCTTCCGCAGTTAATTTAGGCTCAGCCCTCTCCTCTCCTACTGCACTGTTCACCGTGTCCTCCTGGAGGGATCGAGCAGCCTCTCTCGGGGCAGTGGCTGCTTCTGCAGAGGCGGTTAGCGAATAGCCATCTCCTTTCCCACACGTCCCGGTGTGAAGGCAGCAGTAGCTTCGGCTTTAAATTATTTGACCACACGTGTGTGAGAAAGGACTAACGGAAGGCAGGATGGACTTGAAACTCTTTAGATTTGATCTTACGCTCAGGATCTAGAAATGATTTTAGGGAATCCCTTTCATTGTACTTCTTGGCTCAGACTTTTTGCTAAACACCCACATTTAATGATGTGATCTAACTATTCCTAAAAAATCGAAAGATATGAGAGAATGGGAAGGCAGTCAGATTACCAGCCGTCATACTATTGTGAGCAACCATGGTGTGCTAGGCACCAGATTAATTTTAATGCAGGCATGATTATGATCATCTTAATCCTAATTTACATCTGAGGATATTTTAGCTCAGACTTGCCCAAAGCCTACACTTAGGATAACCTGCAGGATTCATACTTGGGTCCTTCATATATCAAGCTACATGCTTTTTTAAAAAAATGATAGGGCATTAGATGGAAAAATGTAGATTATTAGCATACCACTGAAACTAAAATTTTATACACATTTTGTTGATAGTGAGTGAATGAATAGCATTAGCCTTGTATGTGAATAATTGTATGTTACCATTGGGCTATATAAACTTTTGATTAGGTGAATATTCAATGTTTATTTTGGATAGTGGCTAAAAAAACCACCGTATAGTTACCCACCTCAATCATGTTCATTTCAGTCTAGTAACCTGAGAGAGGCAGAACTTTATTTTATCTACAACATTATAGTGATTTGAAAAGTTACTTGCCCCAATGTGTAGTATTTTTCTGAGATAATTTTCACAGCAACTCTATAAAATAGGCAGATCATTGTGGTATTATTTCTGTACATAGATTAAAAAAAAAGTGAGCCCCAGGAAAATTAGGTCATGTGTTACAAGAAATTCATGCAGCATACCAGGACTTAAATTCAGGTTTCTGAACAAGAATCTGATGGTTTTCTCATTTACATTATTCTGTATGGCCTTGTGTGTGTCAGGGCCTGATAATCACGTGATGTGTGATTGGCTGTGGCTCGTTCAGTGTAGGCTTTGATTTCCCCCAAGTTTCTACTTCGGACATGCTTATCTGGCCACAGCTTGTCCAAATACTTTGAAAGAGGAACTACAAGGGAAGGATGAAGTCATACAGAAGAAAAACGGGAACCCAGATGTAACAGCTCCTATACTATATACTTTCTGTGGTCCTTTTTGGGGGATTTCACACAGCCCCCCCGCCCTTAAATTGCCCTTGATCCTTGATCCTGTCTTGCACCCTTTCTTCCATCAAGAAGACTTGTACCGATGTCCAGTAGGGTGTAGTCGTGGTCTGCTCACTTGGGAAGAGTGTCCCTCAGAAATCATAGGTGCCTTTACCTGGGGCCACAGGAAGAAGAGGAATGCTGAGGACTAAGGATCATGGGAAAGTGTCAAACTATTCAGTTGGAGATTCTTAGTCACTATAAAGGGAAAAAAATTGTTAAGATAAAAATGCTAAAATCATATACATATTGTTAGAATTTTATCCAAAACTTACTCTGTTCAGTTCAAATGTACACTAAGAAAAGGAGTGAAATTTTTAAAAAAGGGGTAGGTTAGGTTGAGACCAACAAGTAGCAGATTATATTCCTGACATTATTTTACTTAATACTGCAGTTAATTACTTAGCTTCGGCTGATTGTAGCTTTTAGAGCGGAGACCAGGATGAGAAAAATTCTGTTACTTTATCACTGCTGTAGGGGTGGTGGTGACAGTCCTCAGATGTCACAGACAAAACTCGGTCTACTCCTGCCGCGTTTCAATACTCTTGGCATCCAGCACTTACAAATTGAAGCAGTTTTTTAATGTTTTGATAGCTATCTCATAATTCAAGATCCAAGTCAGTTATTCTGAATGCAGAAAGGCTGAAAATATTGATACTTCAATGATTTTTATTTAGTGCTTTAAAATTGAAGACATACATATGGACTGAAAGAGTAGCCTGAATAGTAGGCTATGAATGAACCAAGTTCAACTTTAAAAGGAAAACATTTTGTGTAGTGAATTGGCTTACATGTAGTTTATGGATAAGGTAACACCTTTCATTCTAAAGAATTTTATTTTAGATTAAACGGGTGTTTTTTGTGTGGTGTGTTTGTGTGTGTTTGGGGGGCACGTTTATAACTCCTGACTTACCTATTACCTAATACGCCACAAAAATACCCTGCAACACCTTAGTCACAGGAGGGCATCGAAACACAGCTGGGCAGTGGACTTTGTGCTACTGTCAGATCCGGGCGGAATCCTGGACCTGCCGCTGCTTCTGTGTCCTTGAGCCAGTTGCTCCATCTTCCCGGGCCTGCCTCTGCCTCTCGGCTTGCTGTGAGTTCCCAGATGGAAAAGCACTTTTTAAATCGTAAGGACTAATGCAAAACGGTTAGCTCTTACTCTTTCCATGTAAATTTTTTTATTTTTCTGATTCTTTTAAGAGTTCTGTGCTTTTCCTATCTTTCTCCCTCTGATAAACTGGAGGGAAAAGACTTAGAATTATTACCCATTTTTGACCTAACCACTTCACACACACACACACACATGCACACACTTTTTTTTTAAACAGGCCGTAATTCCCAGAGGGGTTAAGTGACTGACTTGTTCAAGGTCATGGAGCTGGTTAGTGACAGAACTGACTGACGTGATTTAGTTCATTCTCATATTTAACTTTATGCTGCAGCTCATGTAAAAATTACTTATTTCCACTTCTCTAATTTGGATGTATTTTATGCCATTTTTTGAGGATTCTTGAACATTTACGGCTTCCTTTTCCTGCTTCCATTTACCCTTGTCATTCTACACTTTGGTTTGTTTGACATTCTTTCCAGTTTAAATATTTTTCCTGTAGATAATTCCTCCCCAATTTCCCTAGATGTTCCGACGTAAAAGCCATTTTCCCTGAAACAGCTTGGCCTCCTAGTTTCCTGCGCCTCTCTGCTGTTACTGATTTCCATGTCCGCTCTCTGCTCTCCTTCCCCTGTGTTCCTCTGCCAGCCTTGACCTCTACGGCTGTTTGTCTCCACCATGTTTTCCGATGCCCGCTCCTTTCTGGTATGCCTTCGGACGGATGGTATCAGCTTAGTTGTTTGTAATGTTTTGCTTGAGGCCTTTCACATGCCA